CTGTTGGGGCAACATTATGCTACATCAAACAACTTGTCACACCAAAGCCTTGCATATCCAACTTGAAAAACATCTGATAAAACAGACAGTGTAGTCCACACTAACCTGTGCCGCCTGCATATTTCTGAAGAACACCAACATAACAGAGTGCCCGCTGGAAGTGTCATACTCAGAAGCAGCCGTCTCACAGCTGTAGCATTACAAGAAACATTGTATCAGACCAAAACATCTTACTACATGTACATGTATTTTGATTAGTGATTCAAGTCCAAATCCATGAATCTCATGAAGAAAATAACATCAAAGAAAGTGACACTGTATAAATATAATATTTCATCTGTACTGTCCCACCTGTCTACAACTTGAGAACCTGCATGTCATCTATGTCTCACCTGTCGATGTATAATCTGAATGTATGTCACCTGTCTTTGCTTCACCTGTCTACAGCTGTATGTTGCCTCACCTGTCTGCTCTGTCCCTCCAGCAGGTGTTGGCACCAGTCCTGGTAGCCAGTTGTCAGGGTAACGGCTGCCACCAGGCTGGCCAGGCAGCCCAGCAGACACACCACCATCTGGGCAGACTGCCACCTGTCAATCATAACCAACCACCTGTCAAGCATAACCAACCACCTGTCAAGCATAACCCACCACCTGTCAATCATAATCAAATACCCATCAATCAAAATCAACCAAATGTCAATCATAACCAACCACCTGTCAATCATAACCAACCACCTGTCAATCATAATCAACCACCTGTCAATCATAATCAAATACCCATCAATCATAATCAACCAAATGTCAATCATAATCAACCACCTGTCAATCATAACCAACCACCTGTCAAGCATAATCAAATACCTGTCAAGCATAATCAAACACCTGTCAATCATACAAAACTACCTCAACCTACTTCAGAAAGAAGCTCTCCATTATTATGACAATCCGTCAAACGTATTAAGGAACATCTGTGACAATCCTACATGTATATGGCAAAAGGATCTGTGTTATTATGACTCAGACTATGTAGAATGCGTTTACGATGTTCTATAGCTGTATAATAGTGTATTACCAGACTTCATAGTGGACAGAGGCGATGCAGCTGACCAGCATGAGGAGCAGGGCTGCAGCGGAGGTCACCAGGGCCTGGTACAGGCAGTAGCTACACACACTGTCACTGCCATACACCTGCAAATAACAATGCACAGGTGGTTAGATTGGTTTTTTTTTTAAGCCTTGTTTCAAACACACTTACAAATGTAGGTCACCCATAGCTGCATATCAGATGAATTAACCGATGAAATAGAAATTCTGAATGAGCTACAGTGTTTGAACTAGCTTTGAGGCCACTGACCTGAGACTGGGAGTCCAGGTTGAAGTTACCGAACAGCAGACATCTCTGTCCGGCGTCGCTTCTACTGATGGTGAGGATACAGGCCACGATGATGCCACACACCACACACAGCGCCTGCACCACTCCCAGGACCTTAGCAAAGTGGGGACACGCCATCCTGGGGGAGGTGGGGGGAAAGTGAATGAAAGCCCTTTGCAGCACCTTTGGTGGATCTTTTTATTTCAAGAGCATCAGAAGTATTGGGCAAGAAGTCTTGTTGACATCATCCAGATGCACTCAAACAATAATTAGGATGACAGACATGGTTACTTGTAGTTGTGGTTATAATGTACTGTTGTTAATATTTAATTAGAGTTGTAAATGATAACAAGGGAGTTATAAACTGATAGGTCTGCCCAATAACCTCATTTGGTGATGATGACAATAACAACAAGAATAATATGGACCTTTGACACCATTATCAGCTGTTTTATAACCTAAAATAAAACATGCCCAAAGTGGTTATATAGCTGGGTATGCTTATTCCTACATTTTGTGTAGATTACACGGCAAAACTACCGTAGTCAAGGACATTGACTAAACGCACATTTGGCAGTCATAAAAAATTATTATTGTTTCTGTTTATTCTATAAAACACTAGAGAACTAACCTGCAAAAACCTTACGTTATCGGCGCCTTGCTTGCCTGGCTTGTGCGTTGAACATCTGACACCTGTGTTGTCACCTGTCAAAATGACGTCATTTACCCACCAACTTAACCTTGACCGTGACACTACACGACCTTAAGCATGACAGATGATTAGCGAAAGGTTTGGCAAGACGTGATCGACGTTCGGGAAAAATCGCACCATAGCTCGGGTCCACCGGCTGTGTTTTGCTGCCGAGATCACTTCCGGGTCTTCGGGTCAGGGTGATCGACACGCATCACTTCACGTGCGGTGAGACCCGTTGAGTAGCAACGCCCCCTACCATCTCTATGCACAGGACAGCTCCTATGAATGAATGAATGAATGAATGAATGACTGTTTATTATCGTGCCATTGCGATCAATATGCCGCCCAGCCCATATGGGCTTATAAGGCACCGACAAAATACAAAATCAAAACAAATCAAAAGGTACAGAGAATCAGATGTAACATAAATTATAACTTAACATAATATATAATAAATACAGGAAATTAAGTAGTACTGGTCATATACAGAAATCAAATCAAATGTAACATAGATGATAAATAATAATAATTTAGGTTCAACCAAAATTGATAATGGATAAAAGTAACAAGAGGTAACTGTCACATGACTGTTACATACAAAGAACCAACTTAACAGAAAAGTGAACGTAGCAAGGAAAGAGGAGAACCAAACTGAAAATGACAGTAAAAATCCTATGATTTCCCATGTACTACCAAAGCCCTAGTCTAGTGCCTAATCTAAAGATATAAAGTACTATGGGACTGTAACTTACTGGGTGTGTCGGTTATGTCGGCGAAAACCCAAGACTATACTTTCGGTGCACGTTGATGTGTTTACAGTGAGTCCAAACGAATTCCAGAATCTTCGCCCAAAAATGTCTTATCTATAACTGTTACTTCTGAATCAATTTGACTTGAATGAATGACTGTCTGCCTGCACCTATAAGAAAGAGTGTGAGTTCTGACTCCACTCTTACGTGATTCATTTCAAGAAAAAGTCAGACAAAGATAAATTACTAAGGCTTACGTCTGGCCTTAAATTAGAAAAAGGCAACTTTGCAATTGAAAATGTGCATCTTCCTCTACAAATCACAGAATTTGATAGTTATTTCACTCCATAGTATAGTACGGAGTGAAATACTCCACTATGTGGTGAAGTCATATTGCTTTTATGGCTTCATCACTATGTGGTGAAGTCATATTGTTTCTCCTCATGTTTCTCCTTCTCCTGCCATTTCGTTAAATGGATTCAATTTCTTCATTTTTTGCCAAATGACCCAAATGGCATGGAATTTGGCATGAAGGTAGAGTAGACAAATACCTCCAGGCGTTTTTTTTTCATCTTTTTTTAATTGTTTCATTTTTTTTTGCCAGTTTCAGGCAAAAAGTATACATTTTGGGATCTGGAGCCCTGGTAATAAAACCAAATGACCTGAAATTCGGTATGGGGATACCTTGGACACATATCCAAAGGATGTCATTCAGGCTTTTGACATACACTACTTTAAAATTCTACAAAATAGGGGTTTTGGCCATTTCCGGACAAAAATGTACATTTTTGGCTCCAGTGCCCAATTAAAATCAAATGACCTGAAATTTGGTATGGGAAATCCTTGGATACAATCCCACATAATGTAAACAAGACTTCCGAGATCTGAGGAGTCATGGAATTTTCAGATTGATTATGCAAATTAGGTCTGTATTTGCATAATTGGTATTTGGTGACATTCTACCTGCCGTAGATTATAAATATCACATGTATCAAAGCCCCATGATGTAAAACACTGGAATTACAGAATTTCCTCATTAATTATGCAAATGAAGTCATCATTTGTATAATTTGTATCCAATAATGTAGATAAACATATATTGTTCCTTTGTGAATTTATGTGCCCAGAACCTCCCCCTGCAGTTCCAGAACAAGCTTCTAGGGGGACCAAACCCACATCACAGATTACTGTCAGGAAAAGCTATCCACCACTCAAAAATCAAGACCATATATCTACCCACATACCAAATATCATTACAATCCATCCAAGGGTTCAAAAGTTATGCTGGCTGCAAATGTCCTGAAACACAGACACACAGACAGACAGACGCACAGGCACACATACAGACCCACGGACGCACCGAAAACAATACCTCCATTTTTCATGGCGGTAACAACGCCTTCAATAGTTATGCCGCATAATTTCCCACACTATAGCAAAGTGATTTCATAGCCTTCTTGTCTAAGGCAATTAGATCAAAATTAGTGTTTGTTTACTGTACGTGAGCTGTTGTCAGAGTTTGAGCTGGACAACCCCCTATTTTTCTTTCTATAATTGGGAAACAGACTCTTGTTGCTCTCTGGTGTAGAAGAATGTTTGAGATTGAAATGTGATGAAGTACTTTAATGGGGACTTCTTTCAGTGTGATTAAGCATAGGTTCCTATGGCCAACCGGGGATCGAACTCACTCTACCTACTCGGCCATTGCACATTGGCCGATCCCCGGCCGAGTCATACCAAAGACTTTAAAATGGTACATACTGCATTTTCTGCTTAGCGCTCAGCATTTGAGACGGAATATGGGAGTTAAACACACACCACTACCAGTGGACTAGCCCCCTGCTGTAGTGACACAATTGTGTGACCCAAGCTACAGAAACGGAGATGGGCACCGCCATATACAACCATTAAATGGTTGCGGGGTGGATTTTAACTTTTTAACCTATATATCTGGCGAACTGTGACATCTGCCTTACATTGCTGGACAAAAACTAAAACTAGTACTGCTGTGATAAAAACTAAAAACAAGTTCTTCTGGTGTACGCACGCCATTGATCACTCTCTTCCCCAGGCGTCTCAGAAACCAGAAAGCCATTTCAGATCAAACAGGTGGAACCATTTGACGCTTTAATGTGGTGGACCAAACAGTAATAGACTTGCGCCCAAAGACATCTGTAGTGACGGGGTATAAGGAAAATCAAGGATTGACGGACGGAAACCTTTCCACATGGACATCATTGCTGACAAATATCTTGAGGGTTCTTGTGACAGACATGTGAGTACAATCATAACTTCTGTTTTCTTATTCTTACATGCAGCTTACACTGTCCAACAGCGAACTGGAAGAATTCTTTATCACCATCAAAACCTAGTTCCTAGTTTACCGTGGCCGACAAGTACAAAATTTTACACCGCAACTTTTGGTGTTTTACACCGCAACTTTTGGTGTTTTACACTGCAACTTTGGGTGTTTTACACTGCAACTTTTGCTGTGTTTTTACACTGTCAACTTTTGCTGTGTTTTACACTGCAACTTTTGGTGTTTTACACTGCAACTTTTGGTGTTTTACACTGCAACTTTTGCTGTGTTTTATACTGCAACTTTTGCTGTGTGGAAAACTTACACCCCTCCCCTTTAATGATGGACGGTCCCCCTGTCAGGTCAAAGGTGACAAAGATGGCATCCGTTTAAGTCACAAGCTGACGTCTAGGGGACATTAAAATGAAGAAAAACGATGTCCATACCCAATAATAATGAACTAACCTGCATAAAATTTATGTCATTGCTGTTGATGTCTGGAGCTGGATATCTGACGTCCTTGATAAATTTGTTGTGACGCATGGCAGCAAAAAGCAACATATTTGTGATCACTGGACCTGGTCGAAACATTTTTAAATTTATCCCGATCTATAGGCCAAAGCTAGAAAAACCTTTAGAAAAATCTAACGTCACAACGTAGCCAAGCTTTTCCTCTAAAAAACTTATGCACGAAAAGGATAACTCAGTCGACGTAGTTTGCATGCCATCGTTGTCACCTTTGACCTGACAGGGGGACCGTCCATTATAAAAGGGGAGGGGTGTAAGTTTTCCACACAGCAAAAGTTGCAGTGTAAAACACAGCAAAAGTTGCAGTGTAAAACACCAAAAGTTGCAGTGTAAAACACAGCAAAAGTTGCAGTGTAAAACACAGCAAAAGTTGCAGTGTAAAACACTCAAAGTTGCAGTGTAAAACACCAAAAGTTGCAGTGTAAAACACCAAAAGTTGCGGTGTAAAACACCAAAAGTTGCGGTGTAAAATTTTGTTCTTGTCGGCCACGGTACTAGTTATTTAAACGATTCCTGTCTGAAGCCCTTTATCTATTATTGAGAAAAGGTAGCCTGATTAAATCGCTTTGCGGTTGCCGGCCGCCCAACATCCAGTGGCCCCTCCTTTGCGGGGAGGGTCCACTAAAGCCGCGGACGGCAGAGTTTGCGTTACACAGACAAGAGAAAAGGGTAGTATATAGTTACAAAAAATGAAGCAAGTTGTCCTTGGCCTATTTTCAAACGTGCTAACTGTCTTCTTAAGCTTACATGTAGCTTGTACACGGTTCTATAGCGAAATGGAAGAATTTTTAACACCATCAAAAACTCGTTCATCATGATCCAATTGACAGAAAAGGGGGCGTTGTTTCGGACGCCACCATCACACCAGGACAAGAGGACACAGCAATTAATTTTTTCTTTAAAAAGTCTTCCATTCTGCACATAGTACATAGTACATGTAGTATTCAATTCATTTAGGAGTCTGGCAAACTTGTTGGGAGATCTGTTCTTTGTAAGGCCATGTTGATTTAATTATATGGATGACATCTGAGCGCGTATGAATTTTCGGCCGTTTAAAAAAAAAAAGGTTTCAACCATACTAGTACTCTAAAACAGTTGCAAAATGAGCAAATATATACCGCAAGTTGAAAAACAAAAACATTGGATACAATACAATACAGACAAATAGAGACAGAGTACAATAGATACAATAGAGACAAATGGACGCTCGCTTTCGGGCAAAGGTTACAGTCATGCGCCCTCTTTTCCTTTGTTTTCTTGACTCATCTAGTCGGACACCATAAATTAAATGACAGAAAATTAGGCGTTGTTACCAACGGAAAATACAGACAGCGCAGTTTTAGGGCCAATGATCCCCAGTCGTCGGCTTCTTTGGTCGGACAACACGACACCAGGACACAAGCAGAGACAAATCAAAGGTTGCTTTCGGGCAAAAGGTCATAAAGTCATGCGCTCTCTTTCCTTTGTTTTCTTGACCTATCTAGTCCGACACCATGATGCAACTGACAGAAAAGTGGGCGTTGTTACAAACGAAAAATACAGACAGCGCAATTTTAGGGCCAATGGCCCACAGTCCCTGGCTTCTTTGGTCGGACAACACGACTTGATTGACAGAAGAATTGGGTGTTGTTGCAGATCTAGATAGACGTGAGGAAAAGACGACAGGTCGTAATTGGTATAATCTAGTTTAATTTATGGTTTTCTAAATTCAAATGACAATATTTTTCGCCTAAAATTCCTCTCCTTTGTCATACTTCATTTCAACATGGCCTCATTAATTATGCAAATGACATCTACATTAACATAATATATGCATAGTGGTGTTAACTTTTAAGTAACTTATAGAATTTTCACATTAATTATGCAAATTAGGTTATCATTTGCATAACTGGTATCTGTTGATGTTCCGCCTGCCACAGATTGAATAGATTACATGTATAAAAGTACTATTATATAAAACACTCTAATTACAGAATTTCGTACAAAACGCACAAAGCTGTTCAACCTTCTCTCCGCTTGCTCAACAGAATTTGTTACATTTCATGCTATAGATAAATTTAATTTCATCCCAGAAGGTAATATCCCTTACTGTGTACAAACAGGTGAATACATCAAAGAAGGTTTAGACCTTAGAACAAGTAGTATTAGTTGACTCATTTATTATTGTTTTGTACATAGGTTGATTTCGTTGTACCCATGTATTTGTCTGTATATCTACATGCAGTTTTAGACCTTGCGAAAGTCGCTGTACTTTTGTTGTGTCAACTTCTCATATAAATAGTACATCAAACATTGCCACCCAATGGAGTCTGTTAATGATTTATCACTGGCTAATCGTCAACATGTGTACTTTGTTACATCTGGGACGCATAAAAGAGACCGGAGACGCCTAAAGAAGGACGACAAGAGCTTGTCCGGTTGCGAGCAAGTGAGTCTTCTGACATGGAGCGCATCAAAAAGGTACGGTACCGGTAATCAAGAATATTTTCTTGCAATGACAAAAAGAACACCAGAGACTAAAAACTAAGATTCTGTCGGTACCTGTGGGGGCGTGGTGGCTGTATTTGTTTATGGTCAGTTTTGTTCGTCAGTACCAGGCCTGGTTTATACTATAGATACACGAGTCAATGGCTGGAAACCCTCGCCAACTATCAACGGATCAACTATATCTGAAACACGGAAAACGAATTTGCGCCATTTCACTTGTCAAGTAACTTCAGGCATTTACTCCACCGAATGTTTGACATTTGTACATGTACTGACTGTTAACCTTTAATAGGTAACCATTCCCACAGGCCGGCTTAGGTGTGTTTTACCGCGGCCCCTGTTGTACTTAACATAACCAGGATTTTGAATGGGGGGGGGGGGTTCTTCCACTGCTTGAGGGGACGTCGAGCGCCGAAGGCGCGCGGGTCCTAGGGGGGTCCGGGGGCATGTTCCCCCGGAAAATTTTGAAAAATGAACCTTCTAAAATGGCATTTCGTGCATTTTTGAGAGGATTTCCAAGAAAAAATCTGAGATAAATTTTTATTCAATGACAAAGGGAGCAGTTTTTCTACGATTCCAGTCCATCTTTTTAAGAAAAATCTTGGACCTTTACATAAAAAGTGGACCAAAAAGTGGACCTTTACATAAAAAGTGGACCAAAAAGTGGACCTTTGAGCCTTGTGGGGGGGGGGGCGTCCCTTCTGAAGCCAGTAAGATTCTGACACCAAGTGTTAAGATATCGCTCAGGGTAGTGTCGGCCTTTGTGCCGTTACTGCCGTACGATATATTTACGCCTCCTGTCCTTCGTTGACTAAGATAAATATAGCAAGAAGTGGAGAGCAAAGTTCAGAGGGTCATGCATTGCGTGAACATGTTGACAGACACCTTTGTCAGGCGTCTTCCAAGATGCCTTTGTCACGGCGCGGTTCACAGGCTACCGATACACAGATTGTCTTTTGGGACACAGATGTTCCTTGTTGCTAGGGTCGGTCCCAGTGCTGTAGTGTGTGTGCCAGTGGTTGCATGTGTTGTCCTGAAAGCAACTATAGAAACATCTCTTTTTATACATCTTTGCCGACTCTGTATCGTCACTTTACCCCAATGTGACACCTTCTTCCGATCTTTAAGGAAACAATTGGAAAACAGACAAATCAAGACACGCCAATATACTACCTTTTACATACATGCATTATTTACCCTCCACTGGTATGTGAAATGATTATGGCATGTCCGTTCATTAGAATTCAACTGACTTCGGCTTGACGTCATATGTGAAAGCAGTTTTGCAGTGTTTGTCCAGCTTGTGATGTTATCCCGTCAAACTTCGGACAAATAAACTAACAAATAAAAAGCTCCGATGATTATTTTACGGTGAACAGATATCTAATGCAGAGTGATTTTTGTGATAATGACTGACTGTCCTCTGTCTTCTCCTAGTCGTCTGAATGGGTTCCCGCCCGTTACGTCCTGACCGCCATGTTCTTCCTGGGGATGATGAACGCCTACATCCTCCGCTCCAACATCAGCGTCGCCATCGTCGCCATGATCAGGACCCCAACGGCTGACGGGAACGGGACAGACCCGTCCACCAGCATCTGTGGAGAATTCAGCTTTGGAGCAACAGATGCCAATAAAACTACGGTTTGAGAGTTATTTTTTAATGCACCAAATCAACCGTCAGTACAATAGCGATACGTACGACGCAGTCACATTCGTCGTAGGTTGTCCATTATTCTACATTTTTTCTAGAAAGCAGGCTGTGACAGAAGCAATTGCCGACAATTAAGGATCCACCTTTTAGTACAAAACACCTGAAATTTTCTCACTGAAATAAACGTTAGTAATTCAAGGGAGGGGTTCTTCCGTGATTATTACTGGAATGATGATGATGATGAAATAAACGTAACTAACAAAGAATTCTTTTACTCTCCTACAGAACCAAGGAGAGTTCGACTGGGACGAGACGCAGAAAGGCCGCATCCTTAGCGCCTTTTTCTACGGGTACGTCTTCATGCAGGTGCCGGGGGGATATCTGGAGACCAAGTTCGGTGGGAAGAAGGTGAGGATGACTCCTGCGTTCTTCATGCAGACGCATAATCTTCAAGCTACTGAATGCGGGTATACGTACATCAATCCTGGTAGCTAAACATTTCAGGGAAGACAAATATCTGTAGATATTACTAGACCGGAGGGTTTTAAGCAATTGCAAGTGCATTGAAACAATGGGAAAGACGCCTATGCTTTTTCTTTTTCATTTTGTCATTGTGACATTTGCGGGTGTGCGCTAAAAGGGTTTTCTTTTTAAACTTGATTTGTCATTTTTGTTTGGCACAGGTGTACGGCATAAGCATGCTGATAGGTGCGGTGTTGACGCTACTGACTCCCGTGGCGGCCAGAACGGATTTCTGGTTCCTGTTCTTTGTGCGATTCTTCATGGGGTTCTTTCAGGTGCGCCCCCTCTCCATACAGATTTGAACTTCTTGTAAATGGCTACTTGTAAACTACTTCGCATGTTACAATAGCACGACTTTCGTGTCAACATTGAAGTGACTATTTGTGTTGTTTTTAGGGCGTAATTTTTCCTGCTCATCACGGTATGTGGGGGAAGTGGGCACCGCCTCTTGAGCGGAGCAGACTGTTGTCCATGACGTGTACAGGTAGGGTACAAAATATATTGTCATAAGCTTCTTGTCATAAAACAAGAAGCTTTTAAAAAAACAAATAGCTTTTTGTAACCCTTGTAATGCATACGTTGCAATTGTTAGGAAGATATTTCCAATCGTAGGGTATACTGAAATCTCTACTTTTCATTCCAAGTCAAAGACAGACACAAAACTATGTTTCAGGTACGAATGTCGGAACGGTGATCGCTCTGGCACTGTCTGGGTACATCACAGACATGCTCGGTTGGCCCTGGGTCTTCTACATCACAGGTAGGATCTTTTTTGTTTGTTGATATGAGCCATGCTGTTAATATGAGTCAATATGGTGTACTGTATTGTTTAAATTCTAAAAAAAAAAATTTATTCACGAACTCCACGTTGTTGTCATCAGGAATCGTCGCCCTGGTGTGGTTTGTGGCATGGATGCTGCTGGTGCATGATTCACCCGCCGAGCACCCAAGGATCTCCGAAGAAGAACGAGAGTACATCGAAAATTCCATAGGAACAAATGCAAAAGAGGTATGAAGCTATGTCTTATTCAAACTAATCTTCCTTTCACGGTAGCACTGGTAAGGTATGTAGGCATGCAAGTACCTTTCGTTTTGCAACAAGTAATCGACCGAAAACTCATACCAAAAAACATAATCGTATAGTCTCCTGCTCTATTGCAATTTGACATCATCGTCACATTCATCATAATTCAGACAGATACGTGCATGCATATATATATATATATATATAGATATAGTTATCTCGTTATCTTAGCAGTCTTCTTCCTGCAGAGAATATTCTAGTTCAGTGGCTGGAGTTTGTTAAATCTTCAGTTTTTTTGTTTGATATACACAAATAAAACGCCAATCATCAGACTTCTAAGAAATCGTTTTTCCCTTCAGGATATCCCGGTACCATGGTTGGAGTTTGCAAAATCCAGAGTTGTGTGGTGCCTTCTGATTGGTCACTTCTGTAACAACTGGGGAAACTACACTATGCTGACTAATCTTCCCAATTACATGGACGCCATCTTGGGCTTCAACATTGCAGAGGTAAACAAACCCAGACCCACTATCTGGGGGTCCTTATTCCATTATTAAATCAAGGTTACCGACCAATATACATGGATTTCAGGAGTCAGTACCTTTTTCCCCTAAAAAGGCGCTTGTTCCATCTAACATTACGTCTGTAAGATGACGCCATATAGACATTATTAGATGATTTGATGGCTTATTCAGTGCCAAGGACAGTGCACGTGCCACAGTGTTGTACCATGGGCATTGTACTCGCGGTTCTTGATTATATTATTTTCAGATGTCTAACCAGTGTCTTTTCATAATTTTGTAATATCTGTAGTACTACCTCATTTTTTTTATTGTAGAACGGCCTTCTCTCTGCCCTGTCACCGCTGACTATCTGGGTCTTCACTGTCACTGGAGGATGGATCATTGACGTCATCAGGTCACGTGATATCCTGGACACCCTGAACTCCCGGAGGCTACTAACGTCAATGGGTTTGTATCTAACCGTGTAGTTTGACAGTACGGAATCCTTTCCTGTCTTGGAATTATTCGAAACCTACATGTAGCAAAGGTTATAATGAACAAAATAGAGCAAGTGGCAAAGCTGGTATGTACTAAAAGTATCATCCTTTTTCGTGACGTTTTAACACATATAACAGTTATAATGGCTGCATTGTTCTAAAGTTGTTTATTCTGCTGTTTCTGAAAAATAGGACAGTTCCTTCCCGCAATATTTCTTATCATATCTGGATTTGTGGGGTGTGACCGCGCAGCCGCAGTGGCGATGTTGGCTCTGTCAGCCGGCTTTGGTGGGCTGTCAACACCAGGTGAGCAGAGTGAGAAGCAGCACTGTAACGTTACACTCAGGGTCATAGCGATAGATTTATCGGAACTTTAACACGGGGAGAACGTTAACAGGACACAACAGTCAGTGAAATTGTATAAGTTGAATCTGATTTTGCGGTCGGGTTAGAGTCTTTGCGTATAACGCGAGCCGTAGTATAGCTGCATTGCCACTGCACTACTACTAGCTACTTAGATTAGTTAGAAAAGCATCATGGCCCCAATTCAGATGAGAATGGCAAAGAAGAGACCGTCCAATTTATCACGTTGCTACCATTCCACGTCCTATGCTAGGTTAATGCTTCCGGCTATGGATTATCACGGTAGACTTAGTAGTTATATCCAACACTGTTTCCTTCCTGTGCAGGGTTTAAGATCTGCCACATTGAAATCGCCCCGCGGTTCGGAGGCATACTGTTCGGGATCACCAACGTGTTCGGGTCAATCCCAGGATTCGTTGCGCCCGAAATCATTGGTGCTATGACAAACAACAACGTAAGTGAAATCACAAGTGCTATTTGCTTATGAATTGCTTATTTCTTAAATTCTATCACATTTTTATGGTATGTAATTGAATAGCATCCTGTCACTTGATTCCTTTTCGTTATTCTATGAAATCTACTGTTTCAGCAAACTCGAGAGGCCTGGATGAACATATTCTGGATCGGCGCAGTGATATACGTCTTCGGAGGGATAGTAGTCCTTCTGTTTTTGCGCACAGACATTCAACCTTGGGCAATGGCGCCAGACGAAGTTAGTCCTGATGTCATCTTTCTCGAGGACGTCTCAAACGCCCCAAACCAGAAGCACAACGAACAGCAAACGACTAGAGAAAATGCTGAATTAATTTAGATGACACGAAAATGGCATTTTCGTGCTGCTATTCCGTGCAAAACTATGCTTACAATTTACAAATACTTCATACTTATCCAGTTTTTGTAGTCATATTTTGTAGTGTATGGAGGTTTTGTTTACTTTGTGCCTGAGTGCTTGCTTGTGTTTCTATAGTTGCTTCCAGTCTTCAAGTTTCCTGCTATATTATGGAGGCCAGCGAAAAATATGTATGAAAAAGTAATGAATAAAAGAATCACAAAACCTCAGGTAGTGATGAAAAGGTCACGTCAGAGATTCACCAGAATGATGGGTCATCACTAGGATGGCGTAGTGGCAGAGCGTTCGACTATGAAGCGGGGAGACCCGGGTTCGATTCCTAGCTGTACTCGGGGAAAGGCACTTTACACAACTTTCCTCACTCCACACTGTGAATGGGTACCTAACTTCGGTTGGGGAAAGTCTTATTGAGGTCACCTTGTGGTGCCGAATGGCAGCCGCACAGACCCTTGCGACAGTTCCACAAAAAAAACAACATGTGGAGCAAATATGTGTGTCGTGTATTGATTGTATTGTTGTGATTTGTATTGATTATTATGTGATACCCTACACCAATTCAGCTGTTTAAAAAGGCTGCGACTGCACTGGTACTGTTTGGACAATAAAACCATTTATTAATATTATCATTATTACTATTATAGGACGCACCAGGGCGCACAAGGTACGGTAGCGCAGATTTGTCAATGTATGTAACGTTATACATGTAGTTTTAGACCTTACGCGCGAATACGAAAGTCGCTGTACTTTTGTTGTGTTAATAAACTCTCTCTATTAAAAAGATAACAGGGATCATTTCAGTGGTCAGTGGTGTAGTGTTCTCTCCAAGTGGGATATGTTGACACAGACTCAGAATGAATGAGAGTGAGCGACGAGAGTAATATGCCGTGGCCGATTTTGCTGCCGTTTTTTCCGTGGAGAGAAGGTTTCGCGAGAACTTTTAGCATAAATTTTTGGCAGAAATGGAGTGAACAAGGATGTGTGATGAGGGCGCAGATTTAGGTATTGTGTACAGAATTTGTATCAGTATTTATATGCATATCATTGGGAGTTATAAGTGGTAGCAATGCGTCGACTGTGGCGTCATGTGAGGACATGCGCCTTTGGACTTATTCGCTACGTGGCGCTTTTGATCGATCAACCTTTGACCTTCTTGAGTGACCCAAAAGACAAACCATCGTGGCGGAGCTTGGAGTCATGATGTCGTCTAAAAGATGGACAAATTTATGAAATTCGACGTATAGATCTTCAAGCAATGACATCAGTGAACGTTTTCGTGACCAACAATACTTACATTGACTTCGACGTCTTCGGCCATTGGTTGAACGGGCTAACAGGTTAGTCAAAAATCATATAGAGGGGAGGGGCACCTCTTACTTCACCGTTAACGTATACCATGGAGGTAAAACCATGGTAATACCAATGTATATTTGTACCAAGCTACTGATGATAATTTTCTTTGACGTTCCTTTTAGAACGTTATAATGATCGTTAGCTAAAAAAAGTTGTGTTTAGTTTTTTTTTTATATTTTGTTCATTGTAATGTAACGGCCGTTAGATCGGAGGAGATTGTTAACGTTAACTATTACATTTTAGATAATTAACGTTATATAATTTGATCCATATCACTTCTGAGTATAAGGTTCAAGAATTAAGTCTTAATTGTTATCCTCCTTATTATTTAAGGCACTGGTGATGTGAGTCATTATTTGTGTACACCCTTATGACATGTATTTACTAGTATGTGTATAACATTACCCCCCCC